GCGACTGCTGCTGTGCAAGACGATCGACCTGCAGCTCGAGTTCTTCGCCAGAACGACGCGCAGATCCCGATGAAGAAGCTCCTCCCTCGCAGGAAGGAGAAGCTCGTTGCCTTGATTGACGCCGTGGAGCGCCACATAGCCAACCTAGCGACACAAGCCCAGTCCCGAAACAGTAGCCAGAGTCGTGAAGAAGAGAATCCCGGGGGTTTCGAGTTTGACGGCCAGCCCATGACAGAGGAGATCTTGGACCCGGAATTGGACATGGTGTTGGATGTGTAGCGCTTGTAAATAGGTGCTGTTGTGTCGCCAGATGCATGATAAAGTGTAGCCTGTGCCGTTCCGGTGTGATGAGCGCCGTTGAGTGCGTCCAGGGCTTGCGAGATGCGGTGGGACGGCGAGTCGTGCGCTGCAGTCGTCAAGTTCGCGGTGGACGTGACACGTGACCGGTTACGCCTTTGGAGCCGCGGCTGCCCAAGCCCACTACAGAGTTGCCACACCGGCGAAATGATCACGTGGCGAGGCCGGGTCGCCGAGCTAAGGTTTGGCTCTGTTTGGCTCATGCACGATCCGGGAACATCACGTGATATGTGTGACATTCCAAAAAAGGCTATTCGTCGTCTGCTGGCGCCGTCTCGCCGTCGTCGCTGCTCGCTGCTCACTGTTCTGGTCTCTATGGATGACTAGCACCTAGTATATGAACTGTCCAAGTGTCTGACTCCATCAAAAATGCGCATCCGCACGAAATCGGAGCGAATACACCGAGAAAATGTGACTGAGCCCAATACTATTAAGATAGGGCTCATTCAGTTTCAACAGGTCCCACGGGTCTTGCTAGTCGAATAAAATATTCTACGCTCAAAATTCACAGAAATCGCCGCCACAGATTTCAAGATAATGTGCATTCAAAGAGAATTGTGGTTTTAGATTTAGAGTGTGTGCCCCGTAGCGAGTGGAATTCGCTGCGCAGCACTTATCACGCCTGTTGAAACTGAATGAGCCCTATCTTACTTCGTTCGCATCGTATTCTTCCGGATTCCGTCATACAAGAGCTTGATGGGTGGACGCTATGATAGTTCGATGTAGGATTGACTCGATGCGACGCTAGCTTGCGTCCCATCCACAATTTTACCAAATCGGGACTGTGACCGTGATGTGACTGTCTTCACGTGATGTTCCCGGATCGTGCATGAGCCAAACCTTACGAGCTGAAAACCTTGCAGCTCAGAATTGAACAGACCTACTACATGGTATGAAACAATACACGATATTGGCTACCGGTACACTGAGCTCGACGTCAAGCTGCGTCTATTCTCGGCTCGGTCTGCAGCTGCGAAAGCATCCCCGTCTCTGCTAAACCTCTGATCCAATCTTGTGTTGTATTGCGTTCATGATCCAGAACCTCCTTCGGCGTCCCTATGACGCGGAAATTGGGATGCCTCTTAGCCAGCTCATGGACGTAAGATAGGTCGTCCCTCGCCAGTACCTCCGGATAATCACATATGTAGGTGACAGTAAGAGGCAATCCAGCCGGATTATTCGCCGTCACTAACGCGGTCAAAGGTCCGGCGTCGGCCCCGGGCATATCGGCGTTATGGACCACCACTGCTTCCAGATGTGGGAGGGACAGGCAGGCGTCGGTGAACTCTTGATCAACGTCGGGATTGTACAGCGACAATCGACGAAGTTGGGTCATCGTCATCCAGTTACCTGGAATCATTCCGAACCCCTGGAGTTCGCGCTCCGTACGCAGGAAGAGCTCGTCACGGCAGCTGACGAGCGTCGTCAGGGCGGGGAGGCTTTCGAGGGTGTGGCGAAGTTGTTGCTTGACGTTTTCTACGTCGTCCTCCGGCATGACCGCGCGCAGTGGCAGATCTAAGATGACCGTGTGCAGCTTATGTCTCGCGTGCTCCAGGACCGAGCACACGAGGGGGATATAGCCGAGGAAACGAGGGCCCCATGTGTTATGATCTGCTACGGAGATGCTCGTGAGGTGCTCCGGGACGTAGGGTGATCGAGATAGTTCTTCAAATCTGCCGGGCAAGGTGATGCGTATGCTCGAGTAGAGCAGCGGGATGGCGAGTTCGCGAAGGAAGTGGGACGTCAGGCAGAGAGACCGTAGAGTACGACGTCTGATCTGGTCCGGGAAGGATGAGCAGTCGCGCAGGGCGTCAATGACGTGGATCAGAAGCTCTGGCGGTAGCCTCGACATTCCGTAAATGCCCGCTGGCTCCGGCTACTTGGATATCAATCTCGTGCTCGACGCTGAGGAATCCGTCACTCGATGCTGATAGAAAGTCTGAGCTCTGGTAAGTAAACTATTGATTGGGCTACGATCGTACCGAACAGGCGTTTCTCTGAGCGGTAGGTGGTTGATGTTCAGCAGCAATATCTGACGCCCGATCTACAGTAACTGTAGCTCGCGTCGCGTGTGTAATTTGAGCTTCAGCAGAGCTTGGTGCTATGGGCAGCGAAGACCAAATTTGCAGACCTGGATTACTTTACACTGCCGGCTTCTCGCGGTACCGTGGGAAGTATGGCAGTGGGCAGCCCACCGCCAATGGCGGCTCTGACGCAATCCCTGAAGCACTTCCTAGCAGTGACCAGTTCCATTCTAGCCAAGTTGAATCATACTGTAGTTTTTCGACCGTAAGTTCGGCCAGACCCCCTGGACAGGGGACTCCAAGTCCACCAAGTGATCCTCGATCAGTTTGAACACTCACACGGTCAGTGATTGGGCAAAAAAACGGAAGGGGACAGGGGACAAATGAACGAATAGGTTTGGTTCGCAGGTAGATGGAGACAGGGGACGAACTTACGGTCGAAAAACTACAGTACGTTTCGTTTTTCGCGCTTGTGGCGTGCGAACGTCGCCACCGCACGTGCTTCACATGCAATCACCCGCGACGCGGCTTCACTGTTCGACGTTCGCCGACGTCGACATCCTCCAAGTTGAAGTACTTTGTCCAAGACGATACAATGTCCATCGCGAGCTCCCCTCTCTTGCTGCCTGGAACTTATATGCCTGCAGAGCTCTTCTTCTAGCTCCTCAAAGATGGGTGTCTATTTCCATCCCGAATTCCACGTCTGCTGTTGAACGACAAGCGCCCTAAGTTCATTCATCATAAACCTTGAGCTTGCTGTCCCTTATGGACGTGCTGCACAGCAGACGCAATCTTTACGTCCAAGCTGCTGTAATGGGACAATGGCAATGAAGATGAAGATCATAAATACTGCGCCCGTTGCACGACCTCCCTTCTTACGCGTGGTCTCATAGTATGAGCTCCAACTGCACCATACCATCTGACTTCAACTCTGCGCTGTACTGTTTGTCACCGCGTAGCTACACCTCTCTTTTTGGATGCTGTCCCGGCCTTTGCCCTAATCCAGGTTCGTCTCAGTGCTCTCCGGATTCACGATTCACGACGTTCATACCCCCCTTTCAGACGTAACGGGAGTAGGGTCATATGTAGCCTTCGTGCTGCAGACTGTTATATCTGGTCAGCTTATCTCTTGCCCATGTTATCTCGCTGAAACTTGAAGCTTGAAACAAATAGGCGTTGCGATGATTTGGCACCCAAGGCCCCGTGATCGGCGTCTACAGTACTACATGCAATACCTCAACGTCTTCACCCGGTTGGGGGCAGGCATCTATTTCTTCTGGACCAACAGAGAAAACGGATATGATGCCTACTTCATCGTCTGGCTCGTTGCGGGCGCCAATACCAACGGTCTGAGTTAACATCAATCACAGAATCAACCCATCGTGCTGACTCTGTGCTGCAGCTGTCATCGGCGGCGCAGCGGGACTAAATATTGCAGATTTTCCCGGTACGCTGCTACAGCCCGTCATATGCGGAGGAGGGATACTGTTCCTCGCCATCACGGGCGCGGGGACTTATGGTAATCACGGGTCACAGCCTGCATGCACCTTCAAGCTCAATCTTGTCATGTTGGTCCCATTGTTCGGCATCGGCGGGGTCATATTCCTCCTCGTGCTTGCATCCGGGACTCAGAGGTTCAATCAGTGGTTCATCGCGAGCATGAAGTCCTGCCTCGGGTAAGCGTTGTGCACCCCTCCAAGTAAGATGCACTCTTATGAGCCAATCCAGTGGACGATTGAATAGAATGGATGAAGTCGAAAGAGCCGAGTTGTTGTTGCGCATCTTCTGGACGGTTGTTGTCGTATGCGTCGATGCCTACTGGGTAGTCGGTACCGTCCTCTTCATTCGATGGTACAATACCCATAAGGCGTTCTTGAACCACAACCAGTATCATATAACGTGGTCGCAGGTACGCCATCGGACACACCAGGATCTCAGAAATGCATGGAACTGACTTTGCCAACAGATACAAGGCATCATCATCGCCGCAATCACCATCCTTCCTACCATTAGGCTGGTAGTGAACGAGATTGACGCTCGACTCCACTTCAGCGTTGCAGAAAACTCTCGTCGTCGGCATCAGGATATCCTTCAAGAGGCCATCGGCAACCAGTCGGTTACAACATTTCATCGTCCGGGTCATCCGGGCCATCGTGAATCGAACGCAACCGACGATAGCGTCTCAAGCTCGACGGGGTTGCTACGTAGGGGACATCAACGTTGATTCTTCTTCATTTATTTCTGCCGAATTGCGACATAATAAGACACGCAAATGACAACATTAGATTTCTATGCCGTCAACATCTCCAAGGCCTCTGCGTAACGCTTCCGGGTGCCTTCTACAACCTCTTCGTCGATCGTCCATCCCTGGCCCTCCTTGCCCTCAGGTCCGTTCTCGAGCCCCTTACGGAACCCAGCAGCCACGAGCCAGTCGCGCAAATACTGTTTGTCGAACGACGGCTGGGGCTTTCCAGCTTCGTACGAGGCGGCGGGCCAGTAGCGCGACGAGTCAGGAGTGAGGGCTTCGTCAATAAGAATGATGTCCTCGGAGTCACCGGCCGCGCTCGGGACCAAGCCGAATTCGAACTTGGTGTCGGCGAGGATGAGGCCTCGGCTGAGTGCGTACTCGGCGGCGGCGTTGTATAGCTCGACGGCGGCGAGCGAAATATTAAGGTAAAGCTTCTCCCCGATGAGCTTGGACGCTATCGAAGGTTGATTGAAGCGAGGGCAGGCTGAGGTCATGATACTGGCGCACCTTGCTCCGGGGAGATGTTTTCGTCGTGCTGGCCTTGTTCAGCTTTGGTGGATGGGGTGAAGAGCGGTTCGGGCAACTTTTGTGACTCGACCAATCCTGAAGGTAGTGGGATGCCGTGAACGGTTCCTGACTTCTTGTACTCGGACCACGCGGAGCCTTGAAGCTGGTTTGGCCACAACGAGCTTGAACGATCTGCACCACCAGCACGCACCTGTCAAGTATCCCCGAACGATCGCCTCGAGGGGGATGACCTTCGCTTTCTTTACAAGCATGGTCCTGCCCTCGAGCTGGTCCTTGTACTTCCGCACTTCCTCTGGCATCTCATCCACGTTCACGGTCACAACGTGGTTCGGCACGATGTCCTTCAGCTTCTCGAACCAGAAGTGGGAGATCTTCGTGAGGATCTTGCCCTTGTCTGGGATACCCTGGCGCCGCCGTCAGACCACTGACTCATGGTACTAGACATAGACAGGCTCCGGTTCGGAATGGAGGGGGGGCACACGGACATTGCGCAGGATCACGTCGTAGGCGGAGATGCGGTCGGACGCGACGAAGAGCAGGTGGTCGGGGGACGAGGTCGCGTAGATGTCCCGGACTTTGCCCTTGGAGAGCAGCTTGAGCTCGGGGAGGTCACTGTTCAGAAGAGCAGACATGGCCGATAGATGACGTCTTGGTACAACCGTAAACGGGAAAACATTCCAGATCTTCGAGTAAGGGCCAGGATGAGATAGGGGCGATTTTGCAGTGACCGGTCACGCTTTGTCACTCAAGAGTCGCATCATGACTCTGCAACGACTTTGTCCGTGGTGTTTCCAGATGAAAGCGTCGATGCGTTCTTCTCGGATCTAGGCTTTTCGTCCATGCTCGTGTCAAAGCATCAAGGAACTTTGAGCATGGTCAAACCGTGGTACCGTGCCTTGAGCATTTAAACACGGTTGATATGCGGGGATCATGCATGCTCTAACACGATGTATGAAATGGCTCTTTCTCAGGCTACACCGACATTTGCGCACATGTGGCCTCGGTGAGAAGGTCTTACGAATATATAGTGACTCAATCTGGACTCAACGAACTGCTGCGGTTGTGAACGCTCTAGGTTGATATCGTGAGTCCTTGATGATTTATAAATCACTCATGTCGCGCGAGTATATAGACTCATCACTCTCCCCTCGAGCAGAATTTTATGCCTTCAATCTCACAGAGCTTCGAACATCACATTCATACCTCACTTGCCGTATCTTCATTCAAGCCTGCACCATGGACTTCCCCTACCTTGGGTCAGCGTCATCTCCCAGTAACCCTGATATTCACTTCACGTCGCTGACGGTCTCCGATTCATCAGACGTACCTAGCTCCGATCCTCTGCAGAACGATGCTCTCGAGTTGACGGAGAGAACGAGGGACGAATCTGATGAAGAAGCCTGATCTGGCGAACTATGGTGCTTTGATCATAGACGAGGCCCACGAACGGACTATCCCCACAGATATCCTTCTCGCCCTGGTCAAGGACGTGACCAAGCATAGGCTGGACCTCAAGCTGTTGATTTCGAGCGTATGGCCGAGTTCCCCGTGGAACCTATGCTTTCTAAAGCAATCATCGCCTCCGAGCAGGAGCGTTGCACCGATCAAGTTCTCACTATCATCTCCATGCTCCAGGACACCGACTCGTTATTCCATCGGCCGAGCGACGAGAAATTGCATGCTGATCAGGCCCGTCTGGCCTTTGTCTGGCCAGGCGGGGATCACGTCACCCTCCTCAATATATGGGAACAGTGGAAGCGCACGAACTTCTCGCGCCAGTTCTGCTACGAACGATTCCTACAGTTCAAGAGCATGTGCAGGGCCCGTGACGTTCGAGAGCAACTCGTCAATATCTGTCAGCGAGCAGGTGTCCCAATGTCTAGCAACGCAAATTCCACCGATCTGACACCGGTCCAGAAGACGCTCACCGCCGGATTCTTCTACAACACTGCGGAGCTGCGTCGGAGCGATGACTCTTACATCGCGCTCAAAACGAAGCAGGTCGCGCATGTCCATCCGTCGTCGAGCTTGTTCGGACAGCTTCCTCCGGCCAAGGCGGTCCTATACTATGAAGTCGTCATGACTTCGAAGGCATACATGCGACAAGTCATGGAGATCAAACCCTCTTGGCTACGTACTACTTCAAATTCGCCGACCTTGAGCAACTGGTGACTGGCGAAAGGAAAATGCCGAGGAGCGTTTGAGTGGTACCCCATCTCCGCACGATGTCCAAGTTGGTAGTTGTCTACCTGACGAGCTATGCACTTCCACCTGATAAGAGCAGCAACGAAATCTACTATTTGACGGAGTAGTCACCCTCTAGCTGGCGAATTGGTGAGATCTGGGAAAGCGGGAAATGTAAGTACAATGCAGAAAAAGCGAAAACAAGTCTCTCTGGCGGGGAGTCGAACCCCGCTCTCCCGCGCACCGAACATCAGAAGCAATGAATGACAGGCGGGTGTACTATCCGATATACTACCAGAGACCATAGTTTTTGAGCTACTCTTGCATATGTGTCACGTATCAGTGTAGACTGGAGTACGCGTTCTATACTTTCGGCTGTAGCCCACAAGCTTCGACAATGGATTTTCTAACAGCATCGATCCCAATGTAGGGATGTTTAGCTGCAGTGGTTACTATAGCCGGTAAGCACAAGGGGGCCGCCTCCCATATGCCCTGCCGTATCTTCGCAAGCGTCGGTTTGACGTCTTCCAAGGGGATAGCATCCACCTTCGTGACGATTGCTTGCAGGGAAAAACGAGTGCCTGCATTTGCATGCGTCTTCGCGTTGAGAGACTCAAGCATCATTCGGTCCATCTCGTTGAGACCGTGCTTGGCGTTGAGAAGGATATATATACGCCGTAGCCTTGTAGGATGCATTGTCAGGGCATGCCTGGAAACAAGATTGTATATATGGCGACGTACTGCTCCCTGTGATCGATATAGTAGTCGAAGATTTCGCCCCACTCAGGCCTTCCGCGGGCGCCGTATCCAGGGGCATCGACAACCACAAGCTTCCCCGGTCCGAACGTGGGCCCAACTCGATAGAAGTTCAATGATTGTGTACGGCCCTATTGGGAGTACTGGTTAGTCCAATGTATAGCAAGCGACGTATGAGCAACGCGACTGACCGGTTTACTGCTGGTGTGAACGAGGTCTCGGCGTCCAAGGACGGCATTAAGCAAAGTCGATTTCCCGACATTTGCACGTCCTAGAAGGAAGGGGGGTAAATCTCGGTTGCCGTTGACAGGTCATAGACATAGACAACCTGCGACGATGACCTGTCCGCCTGTCAGAAACCGGCGACAGACGAAGAACGCCATGGACATACCTCCGGTAGGCCATGCAGTTTGGGTATGGAATACGTGGTGCCAGCAGCAGCAAGGAACTTGGCCGCATTCGTGACTTTGAATATCTTCTCGTGTGCTGGAACGGCAGAAAACGCTCGTAGACCTTTCCCAAGAGGATTTACATGGTTCGGCGGGCCAAAGATCATCGAAGCAGAAGGTAAAGCAGCAATAGCGCGTATTGCCACCGCATATACGCTTTTTCTTGACGTTCACGCAGCGTTGAACGATATGAACACATCCGCACCACACGAAGAGGATTCTACGGACGATGAGGCTGCATCCGACGCGACCGAAGACGATCCGCAGGTCCCTGAACAACAGGCAGCCCCACCGCCTCAACCCGCACCTGCACCCTCGACTTCCGGAGGCCCTGGCCGCGAGCGACCAAACTACGAACTTCGGCATGTCCTTAGAGGACACACTCAATCCATATCCTCTGTAAAGTTCAGCCCCGATGGAACGTTGCTGGCTTCTTGTGGTGAGCGCTATCCGATTTCCACTCTGAGTCAACCCATAATCGATTCATAGGGAACGACAAGGTCGTCAAAATTTGGTCACCGTATACCGGAGAACTCATAAGGAATCTTAACGGACACACGAAAGGCTTGTCAGATATTGCCTGGTCATCGGATAGCGTGTATCTGGCGTCAGCATCGGACGATACCACAATTCGTCTATGGGAGGTTGACACCGTATGTGCTCGCTATTCTCATGTTTTTCTTCGCTCACCGGGACAGTCTGAACAAAGGGACTGACGGTCAGAACGCTGAAGGGGCACTCAAGTTATGTTTTCTGTGTCAATTACAACACCGCCTCCAATTTGCTCGTTTCCGGGGGGTGCGAAGGTGATGTTAAAATATGGAACGTGGCGAAAGGTATGTACCGATGCGATGTCATAGCTAAATATTTGATACCCCCTTAGGCAAATGTATGAAGACCTTGCACGCTCACCTGGACTACGTGACCGCGGTACATTTCAATCGTGATGCAACCTTGATCGTCTCGTGCGCCCTGGATGGTCTTATGTTAGCCCTCTGAACTGCTCTTCCCGACGTGAGTAATGACAATCGAACAGACGGATATGGAACACGACATCAGGCCAATGTTTGAAAACCCTGACCGAAGGCAACGATGCGATCTGGTGAGGTTGTCATATCACATCCAGCGCTGTCCTTGCGACTTATGCACCCCTCTGCCCAGTCAACATGTCCAATTTTCACCTAATTCCAAGTACATCCTCTCCACTGCCCACGACAGCGCGATTCGCCTTTGGGACTACCAAACGTCGCGCTGTCTGAAAACCTACGTCGGCCACACCAATCAGAAGTACTGCATTTTCGCCTGCTTCAGCGTCACTGGGGGAAAATGGATAGTGTCTGGCAGCGAAGACCACAAGGTGTACTTGTGGGACTTGCAGAGCAGAGAAGTGGTACAGACACTCGAAGGCCACACCGGTGAGTACATGCCATTCAGGACCCTTGGGTCTGGCTAATTCTCTGCTTTCACAGATGTGGTTGTGGCAGTCGCGGTAGGTTGCTGAGCATGCAGCTCGGCAAGTCGCTCATCACTGTTTCTAGACCCACCCGCAGCAAAACATGATTGCATCCGGCTCCATCGACTCCGACCTCGCGATTCGCATATGGGTCGACACTGTACGAAGCACTTGAATGCACATATCAATCATCTGTGCTTGTCGTGGTCCAATCGAAGGTTGTGTTATTATACATCGGCAGTCAGTTCTGGTTATGGATGTTCGCGCTCTTCGTGTATTGTAGTAACGTATAGGTAAATCCATGAATCTGCCTACGCATTGATTTGGACACTCTATTGACATTGTAGTCATCACCCGCGCGATGAGAATCGCTTTTGCTGCTCATGGCGACTCTTCCCATCGCGGATTATTCATACTCACTCTTCTGTGGAACGCGCTTGAACGCTGAGTAAGGCTTTGATCAACCGTTCCGCGAGCACTTCGTGCACGTCGCCGGTTATATGGAGATCGTCAAGCCAAAAATTACCGCCCTCTTCAGCGATATCGTCATCGGTGAAGCCATAGTTCTCGTGATTGTCAAGGATGTCCCCGACGACGACATGAGAAGAAAACACGAACACCGAAGCTTGAGATGCCTCTTGCGCGAAATCACTTGCGAGAGTGCGCAGCGTACCGTTCCACGTCTCAATGCGGGCGCGTATCTCGTGCACGAAGTCTACAGCTAGAATAATTACGTTTAGTGCCTCTGACACCGGCACGCCCGACATGAACGTACCTGCAGGAGATCGATCCTTGGGTGGAACATCCACGAAAAGGAAGTTTCTTGCACCTGCCTTCACGTACAGGTCGTGTACCGCATCAAAAATACCTTCTATTATTGCCTCGAGCTCGTCCTCCTCTGTTCTGCCACAGTCGTTGACACCGAGGAACAGAACTGGACGGCATTGATGAGTCATGAACACGCGATCAAGAACTCCTCCCACCGTAAAGGGTCTGACTAGGGTCTAACACCGGTTGAGAGGCAGGCAGCTGCTTCTTTGGAAATCTGGCGAAGAAATGGGCAAGCTGTTCGGCGAGATCGTCCTCAGCCGTTGCACCAGGTACGGCGAAGTTGTGAATTGACATCCCCGAGAGATCACGCTGCCGTGGGATATAGTCCACCTAGCGGGACTGTGGTAAATCTTCTGAATTCAATATCCTCTAATAGGGGAGCGAACCCAAGTTTTCCAAGGTTTGGAACTAAGAGAATCACCGCTAAGAAGGACACTTAGTTGACAGTCAACTTGGATTATTGTCTATCTGCCCACAATACGACCATGTGTGTTAACGACGTTCTTCCGTGCCATTGAGGGCGCGCATATGTCACGGCAAGTTCACCTACGAGAAAGATGTAGCGACATTCCAATTCATAATAACGCCACAAGAGCGGTAGGACGCACTCATTCTGAGCCACGAAGAAACCGAGGAACTTTTCTACCTGGGGGAAAGTATTCCTGGGTGGTTTTCACAAAAAGTTTATAGAAGACAGGGCTGAGGCGTTGACTTGATGGTAAAAAAAGCCGTTAAGGTCAGCTCACTGTTCAAACTCAGAGCAAACGCTATGACCCGCGCATCACGTGGATGTATAAACAATCGTTGCAGTCTCGGAAGTGGTGTTTTTCAGAATCGATGCTTTACTTTCCAGGCCATCGTCGCCGTCTCGACTCAGTTATACCCATCTCCGCCCAGAATCCGAAGACCTGAAGCCAGTGTAGCGAAGAATCCATGGGTTACGCTCGTATCAACCACACGATTCTCCGTCGGCTGTCCAAAGCCGTCGAAGCAGATCCCGAGGGCGACTTAGAAGGGATATTGCATAACCTATACACGTCTTACCCAAGGCTTCGTGCTGCTTCAGACAGGAAAGCCAAGAAACTCGCTCTCTTGGAAAAGAATATCGATAAACTAGCCCCAAGCACAGTTACGAACGCCCCTTCTACCACCAAAGGCCTGTCGCCTCCATCTTTCCTGAAGGCTGTCGATCATGACACCGTCGAGGTCGTCGTGCCCTTGGAAGCGGAGGTTATATCCGTTCTACGCTCAGAAGGAACACCGGGTCAGCCCATCAGCGAAGCTATCCTACAATTGCTGCGGAGCCGTCCTCCCCTTTATGCCTGTGGCGGGGCTTGCGTTATCCCGCTCTCTGACACTGTCGTAGCAAAGTTCAGCGACGAAGACTGTCGGTGCGAAATCGCCATGCTACAGTTTCTCGACACCCACGTCCCTACCGTCAATGCTCCCAAGTTTCTTGGGCTCGCCAATGTCGGCCCGAGGGCGTGCATGTTCATGACTCGCCTTTCTGGAGAAACTCTGGAGAAAAGATGGCCAGACCTATGCGATAGCCAGAAACGCCAAGTCCGGGACTTGCTAGACAAGATGCTCCATTCTCTCCGTACGTTCGAATTGCCAGCTGGCTCGCCCTTCGGCTCGGTTACAGAACAACGTATCTGCAAAGACACTCGCCAATCTACACATCGTTCCATTCCCAACTCGATAACAACCGAACAGCAATTCAACGAGTTCATCTCCACGTGCAATAGCTCGCGCGTCGCTCCTCGGTATCGAAACTGGATCTCCTCCTTGCTGCGGACGAATCATCGGATTCTCCTCACTCACGGCGATCTGCATCCCGCGAATATTATAGTACACACGGACGATGATGCACGTATCAGCGTGGGGATCATCGACTGGGAAATGGCTGGGTACTATCCGGAATACTGGGAAATGCTCAAGGCTCTGAATACAAGAGCGGTAGATGACAGAAGCGACTGGTGGGACTGGCTCCCGCCAAGTATTCTGGGGTACGATATCGAAGTCGTCATCGATCGATATATGGAGAAGGCATTGGGCTTATGGTGGTGAGATAAAGACTTCTGATCTCCTGGACATTTGAGCTGATCGGGACGGCACAGATATCTCGCTTGCGTAGTTTTGATGGCTTTCGATACCTTATCGCCGTATCGATGTCATATTTGTGTATATTGCTGGTCTCTGCGGTTCACAACACAGATTGTGAAGCAAAAATGGCTATCATCTCTGGCAGTTCGGCGACGCTGGCTGGATAGAACCACAGCGCGACAGCATTTTCCATGTGCGCTGCTGCTCGTCGGCTTCGCAGGATCTCATGCCGAGTCATTTGTTGTGTAGCGCCACACACTAGGACGCTTCTTCTGGGATCCCATATTAGTCTCGTTGTATTTCCTGGATATATAAGGAGGTAAGTTTCAGCATCGCCGCATCCACCGCTGAAGCGTGGATCCGCCTCCCAATGCCTACCGCTACTCTCGCCGTCGCAATCTACCGCCCCCAGGAAAACTCGAAGTCCCATTGGGCTCTGTGGCTTTCTGTCACAACCGACGGCGTTGTGGAGGATATCATATACCATGCCGCGGGCGAACCCGGAGCACTGGCTCTAGAAATTCGTCATCACAACCCGCGACAGTCTCGCCGTATTTCGCAAATCATCTATGTATCGGATCTCGACTCCGAACGAGACATTCAAGAAGTCCGCGACATCATGGACAGCCAACCGCTACTGAACGATATACCTGTTTGGGGCTGCCAAGACTGGGTCATGGAAGCGTTGGACACCATGGACGAGGAAGAGGTTTTGGACACGACATGGCCTGAGGCGAAGGAGCAGCTGATGGCAGTCTTCAAGAACTAGCTTGCCGTTCCGTCCTTCCGTCGCCGTATACGGTGCTCATAGCGCGCTGACTGACCAATAGCTTCATTCCGTCACCGAGCATGCAGGTTGGTGATCCCGTTGCGTCATATGTTCGCGCAGAATCATGAACATGTATCTCCTTCGTCGTGGAACCGCCTTGTATTCAGAATATATCTTGGATGTTGTCTCTCATGTGGCATCCATCGTCGTCAGCAACTTGTGAAGTTTCGTGTGGGCCTGATGGCAACAAAGCGGGACACCCCGTTCATATTTATCGCTTTTAATCACCCCTGTCACAACCAATATTGGGTATCTTTGTTCTATTCAGTGAGCTGTAACTCGAAGGTAGCCGCTCCCTGAGTCTCCTCACCGTCGCAAGCGCCACATCGTGTTGCTTTAAATAATATCATTCTGAGAGTCAGTCAGATGAAGTTAATGCCGAGGGACCTGGAATCTATAGCAGTTACTTCTTCATCCCCATACCAGAACCCTGCGGACACACGAAAGGAACCGCAGAATAACAGCAAGCAAATGTCACGTGGGACCTCAGGCCTCAGTACTTTTCGTCCCGCGACTGGCTCTCGAAGTCGCGTCCGTCAAGGATATACTCACTTACCGGAAAGCAGTAAATCGCAGCGTAGAACCACCGATGAGTAAGGATCCTGCCGAGCGACGGTGGTGGTCCGGGCATCAGATACTAGTGACCAGTACGCCATGTTTATGTGCATCGATGTTGCATGAGACGACGCTCGGGGCTCATTGCGGTCGCATGATACTGGGCTAGCTAGCTGCTCGACCTTTACTCCACTACCCGCGGGACGGCGATCGCTTCGACCTTCTCCCTTGCCTCGGCCCTGATGAACGGACGCAGATACTTCTCGACGTATTCCAACGTCATCCCCCGCGCGAGGGCGTCCGCGATACCCATGTTCATCCTCCAAACGTACTCCTCGTTCGGCGTGGACTCCAGCACCCGCTCGTGGTCGACATACACCAGCAATTCCACTTCTTCTCCATCCCGGTTCCCGTCGTTCGAGGCTTGTGACAGAGCGGCGCCCGCCCACGTCACCGTGGCTTTCAAGGACTCTGTGACGTAAGCGAAAGGGACGCCCTCGTTTCGATCCAGTCGCATCTCGTCCTCGGGCACGAGGGCATAGACCATGCCCACGACGATATCCCCAGGCGCAGGGACGATGGTGGCATATCCGCGCTCATTGATGATCCATCGCCAATCGCGGAGCACTGCCATGCCGACGTACGGGCTATTCGGGCACCGGAGCGCCATCTGTTCCAACCACAGGTTGGATCCATAGGCAAAGTAAAGCGTGCTTGGCAAGGGAGGGTTCATGCCGTCGTTATGGTATGGAACGTGTGGGTGCGTAAGACGTGAGACCCGGGCCCGAGACTGGTGTCTTCTCAGGCCTGCGACTGTGCACGCAGTAATCTAGTTCTCACACACGACCTAGCAGATTCGCATTACTCCTCGTGGCCTGGCGTAGCTGCTGAAGACAATATTAACAAGGTTTACTCGCACAGAGCAGCGCGCCCATCGCCTCATATCAGCACATCGCAAACATTCGCGGCTTGTCCCGTGATTGGTACTGCCTGCCGGGCGTCCAGTAGCATATCTGCAGTGTGATTCTGAACATGATGGAGTGCAGGCGATGTCAATGCGTACTCGCTCCCGCCGAAAGTATGGAAACAGGGTCACGTGCATAACCCGCCCTTTCGTATTTCTGCTGATATTGCACACTGTCGAGTAGGATATGAGAAGTGATTAGTATGTGCACAAAACACATGCTCTCTATACTCAGTTATACTGTGGTCAAATATGTACATCTATTCCATGCTGCAATGATATAAGTCTTTGCTGCTAGGGGATGCTCATACACCTATTGGTGTTATGCTGCATGTGTCAGCTTTCATAGAATTATTTCTATTGCATTAATAGAATGTATTGAGCACTATATATATACTGTCTTATCTGTGAGAACTCATGATCACTACAACAGCCAGAAAATCTGTGTTATCCTGGCATTCACATTGCCTCCTAGAAACTATTACTATTTTCTAATAGACGCATGAAACTTGGTAACCCTGGCTCTGAGACTGTTATACCCCTATACCCACTCTATTATATACAGCTTAGAAATTGAGAGTTATGTCCTTTGGTATAGATTTACAGAACTGTGCCCATATATGGCACTACTTGCAGCTGATTGACTGCACTACTGCACCAGCTGTAAACACAGGGTAGTAATAATTGTTATTGTATAATATGCAGGGCTTATTGGGTAGTCATAGCAGCCCACTGACACACTATGATACAATCAGGTATCTGAGATATTCCATCTGAAGTGATTAAAGTACCTGAGTGAAGTACAGGTCATGACTATGGCAGTACAGCAAGAGCATGGGTAAAGCACATATGTACAGTATACTATGTAGTCTATAGTTACTATACACACCGTGTCTTGTTGCCTTACTGGCACAGTTGAGGTGCGAGAGCCAAAAGAGTGTGCAGCAGGAGACCATGCACGTGACCCCGTTTCCATACTTTTGGCGGGAGCCAGTACAGAGCCAGGCAGACCTAGGGGTTGACTTAGGAGACTAAGGCTGTGTTGGAGACGTTCGCTGATTGGACGGAGATGCCCACGCAGTGGCATCTCAATGTTGCATCCTGCGACGACCAGTGATATCGCCCTCGGCGTGTCTTTCTATTCACCGGAAGAGGGTCCTTGTTGGACCACAACGTATCCTGCATGCACTTTGCCACCTATTGCCTCTCGTTCACCAATATCGACCAAATGACTGTGAGACGAAGCTGGTCATTGGGTCCTACTTCGTTGCACTGGAATCCCTTTCCGATGGCCATCGCCGAGCGATACTATTGGAACGCGATGCCACTGGCAGCAACGACCAAGCGGGAGTAGCGTGCCAACACGTGGCAAGCGCACGCCCGAATGCTGCATCGCAATGTACTCAGTAAGGTTTCTCGAGCAGACGTCGCGTGTAACGGTCCCTTCCGAAGTACTCAACCACGAATAGTGTTCGTCTAAACCGAAACCGCCGGGTTGAGCCCAGCCGCGATGTCACTCATGCACACGGTTGCCTCGAGACGTTTCGTGTGAAGCTAATATACGGCATGTAAGGTCTTTTGGAAAGCCTCAAGGCTCGATCGGACGCAGCACGTACAACCGTGAAAGCTGCTATATCAGTTCACCAGCAGGCTGCCCCACGCCTGTTTCTCTCCTTCGTGGCGCTGCCTCCCACTTGATCAGACTCTCCTCCCCATGGGCAAGCTATTCGACGCGGACAACTCGGAGTATGTCGCGAATCTCTACGCGAAGCAAATGCAATGCCAGAAACAGGGCCATGCTCTGTGGCAGCCAGGACAGGCTCGGATCGGCGACGTCGGGCGTTTTGTTCAGGGCAAGTTCGAGTGTCTGTTCAATATCATCGAGGGGCGGGAGGGGAAGATACGGTTTGAGCCCCTCAAGCTATCCAAGGAGCATTATGTATTTCACTCTGATGACCTTCCTCCTGGTCCCCATACTTCCAGCAACGTCCGGAAAGTCACGGTTGACATAGGGGCCTCCGCGTACGTCTCTCACCTTCCGCTCAGAACTCGTGTTTCGACCGGCTAACAGTTTGCACGAAGCTCCCCGGCCTCTATTGGCGGTACTGTGTCCTATGAAAGCAGCAGGGACGAGGCTGCCATACTCGTTTTGGGGCAACCCGGCAGACGAACCACTGTACTTAGCGGATACAGACCCTGGCTGGAAGGTATCAGGCGGCTTAGCCCCCTGATATGGCGGATTGTCGAGGATGAGCTCCAACTGGATCTCCAGGCTGATCCATTGGTGGTCGTCACGGGCCACGTCAAGACGAGTAACCCATGGGAGCTCTTCGTCTCCCGGAAGAAGGAGGGCAAAGCGTCTTTGGCGATCAGCGGCGGGGACCCAGTCGCAAATGTGGCCGAAGGTCATGTAGCGCTGTCGCGAGAGATCAAACCGTCCGGCTTCGAACATCGCAACAAATCGAAGCCGGAGGTTGCCGACAGCTCCAGGATCGCGCCAGAGTCCAAGCTGACTCTCCCGGATGAATTCCCAGATCAATGTGTGTTCGTACGATGTGCCACTATCAAACGCCAGCGCAACTTCCTGCAGAGCATGAGAAGGCCCCGGCGATCGTCAGATCAAGTCACCAAGACGGATAACGACCCGCCGAGGGACTCTGCCTTCTCAGAGAAGCCAATTCCACCAATCCCGAACATTGATTCTGAGAAGATCGATGCACCCATGGACGACTCGGATACCGATGCAGTGAGTTATTATCATGCCGACCTCCCGTTCTTGACGATTGACGTTGTCCAAGTCTAAACAGGGCTGCTTTACCGCTGTCCTCGCTTCCGTGAAAACTTTTTTCCGCCGGATCTCCGATGCTTTCTCGAGAAAGGGCGCATCCCGCCCACCTGTGCTACGTCCTCGGGGCGGGTTTGGGCCCAGCGACTCCAACATACCGGACGACGACGCCTTATGGGATCGTGATGCATCGGTATACAGCGGCAGCACTGGTAATGGCGCTCGGGGACATCGTTCGGTCTCGTTCACATCGTCGATCCAACGGGACGGTTCCAGCTCGGAGTCGACCGTCATCCATCATCGCACCCACCGTATCACACAGTCGACCGTTAGCACGAGCACACTGCCTGAGAGTTTGGCGAGCTCCACTGGCCTACGTAACATCACGTACAGGCGAACCGCCCGTTCGAGCTCCGTGAGCACCCCGACATTTCACGCGCCGCTGCTGGCGAATCCGTCCGCCTCCCGGATCCTGCACGCCCGTCGAGTCTCTGACCTCACCGCCACCAGTCCCACTTTCAGCGTGGACACATCCGAGGTCGACGAGGAAAATCAGGAAGATAACTATTCGGCACGAGACGATCAGCACGAGAACGCGAGCCATGCATCCGCGCGTTTATCCCAGTTGGATGATCTGGACCAGGAATACAACGTGCCGTCGAGCGAAGATGATGGAACACCATACAAGGATTACGCTGGCGGAAAGCCGCTTCCATCGCTTCCGTCACCTACCGAGGTACTGCATTGTATGCATTGTAAGAGTGGACAGTGTACTTACGATTGCGACAGCCTCGCGTCTATCACGCAGCAAACGACGTATCCAACTATATTCTGTCGGTATGTACTAAATCACTACGAGGCTATTCTGGTGATTTTATGGATGCGCCTCCAGAAGGAGCCTGGAGCCGAATTTTCTGTTGTCTTCGACGACGATATCCTGGAGCTCTGCGGGAACGAGCCCTTCCCCGAAGATATGGACGCTTTCTTGCAGAGGAAGAACGTTCGCGTTGATGTACATGACGGAAGTGCGTTCGATATGGTTATCGTGAATGATGTTTGTGCTCACGATAGTGCTTACAGTTGCGTGCCTATGCACGTAAAATGGTCGACCGGCGGCGTTCCGGAAGTGCCGTGCTGGTGTTTACTGTACAATGAACTTCTCTCTCCAAGGCCTGTAATGTCAGAGCACATCGTCGTGTCGCCTCTCCCTGCATCTCTGGAGCGCGTTGAGCATGTTATCTTTGTTCGCGTCGTCTTCAGGTAAAAATGTTGTAGTGCGGACGGTCGCTTCTCATATGAAGATAGCATGTAGGGTGCATGTTATCTGCTCCTGTGGTATTTAGTCGTCGGATATAGCTGCCGTGTCCGATTCAACAGAATGCAGAATTCAATCGGCAAGAACGATCGATACTGACCATGGCAGTTGATAGGGACGCCGAAAGCTTGAGCCAGCGGCCGGCTGTCGTTGCATGCGTGCGCTCCTGTGTATGTACTGCTTCGGGAACCAAGCTCTTTTACGTCGTCATGAACAACAGCCAACGACGGAAGTGAGAAGCTGCAATGTGTCATACGTCTGGTGCGTATAAATGAGTGCGTTTTGTGCTCGATCATCGACGTATACGCACGGCGGATATGCAGGTGCCGTAAGTATGTGTGTATGGTTGAATTGGATTCTGTCAAAGAAACGGCATGTCCGATGCTCCGTCGATGTTTCCACGTGTATCCGAGATCCTGCTTCGCATATCTTATCATGTCTGGCCAAGCCTTGCCATCGGCATTCGCGCACCGAAACGCAAGCCCGAAGCGCGGTACAAAACATGACTAGAATGTTGCTAGAACGGCGAGCTATGAATCATTGCCAGACCCCATCACAACCCAGATAACCTCTGGCACTACCCAGAAGATCCATGAGACTCGACAAGTACCCTAAATACGACCTCACCTTCCCGGGGCCGACCCCGATCCAGCATCTGAAGCGCCTCTCCGACGCGCTAGGGGGCAATGTCCAGCTGTACGCAAAGCGCGAGGACTGCAACTCGGGGCTCGCCTTCGGCGGGAACAAGACGCGCAAGCTCGAGTACATCATTCCGGACGCGCTCGAGGGCGGGTACGACACCCTCGTCTCCATCGGCGGCGTGCAGTCGAACCAGACGCGGCAGGTTGCCGCCGTCGCCGCCCACCTCGGGCTCAAGTGCGTGCTCGTGCAGGAGAACTGGGTGAACTACCACGACGCGGTGTACGACCGCGTGGGCAACATCGAGCTCTCGCGCATCCTCGGCGCGGAGTGCAGGCTCGATAAGGCCGGGTTCGACATCGGGATCCGGCCGAGCTGGGAGCAGGCGATGGAGGACGTGAAGAAGGGCGGCGGCAAGCCGTTCCCGATCCCGGCGGGCTGCTCGGAGCATCCGAAGGGCGGTCTGGGCTTCGTGGCGTTCGCGGAGGAGGTGAGGAAGCAGGAGGAGGAGCTCGGCTTCAAGTTCGATTACATCGTCGTCTGCGCCGTCACGGGCAGCACGATGGCCGGTATGGTGGTGGGCTTCGCGGCCGACGGGCGGGCGAACAGGGTTATCGGCATCGACGCATCCGCAAAGCCTGAGAAAACGCGGGCGCAGGTACTGCGAATCGCGAAGAACACGGCTGAGCTGGTGGAGGTCGGGCGCGAGATCACGGAGGAGGACATCGTGCTGGACACGCGCTTCGGCGGGCCGGAGTATGGGCTTCCGAATGATGGGACTATGGAGGCGATTAGGTTGTGCGCGAGGACGGAGGGTGTGCTCACGGACCCCGTGTACGAGGGCAAGTCTATGGACGGGATGATCCAGATGGTGAGGAATGGCGAGTTCCCGGAGGGGTCAAAAGTGCTGTACGCGCATCTTGGGGGTGTGCCTGCGTTGAGCGCATACAGCTACCTGTTCAGGGAGGGTTGACGGCGATGGAGGAAGTCCCAAATAGGAAGGTCCTAATGATCTGTGTAGCCTTAGTACGCCATCGACAACGTGGTCCAGGAGATACCGGCTTGTTAGGCCGTTCAGTTCCAAACGAATATGGAGCGCCGCCCTGCAAGCATGTTGGTGGATGATGTTCTGCCAGATACGCATTGCGGTTTTAAGGGTTTTGTCCCTCAAGGATCTGCAGGCGATATCTGGAATGATGAAGTATGACTGTCATTATAAATGGTACAATATAGTTTCATATGACGAATGTAGGACGGAGAGCGGCTATGCCGCTGCCTCCTCCTTCTCCTCTTCTATCTTCGGGATGATGTTCTCCTTCTCCAGCAAATTTTCAAGTTCTCCAGATTGGTGCACTACGGATGAGGGTATGCATCAGCACTGACGTGGTCACGCGACTCTGAGATACAACACGCACTTCCAAGGAGGATGTCACAACCACCGATAAACTCGCCATTGATGTACAACTGCGGGATTGTGGGCCATTGGCTATCCAAAGACATGTTTTCAACATCAAGGGACGGGGATGTGTCATAGTTTGAAGACGCACGAGAACTCCTTGATGCCCTCTCGCAGCTCTTGATCCTCGAGGACATTGTACGTCTTCATTTTCTCGGGAGGTACGCCATGCAGATCAAGCACTTGAATCGCGGCGCGGGAGAAGCCACACTGTGGCATATCAGGGGTGCCTATGTGTCCGCGACGGTGCTCAGGGACGTGGACAGGTGCACGAGGATGGACTAGACGCACCCTTCATGAACAGCACCAATGGAGTATCGGTCACCGCTTTCTGGATGGCAGCGCGAGCTTGGTCGGTGAGCAAACGGCGTTGCACGAGCGTGTTGACAGCAGGAGTGCCTAGTATCCGACTCGTGAAGCACGTTGGACGCGAGGTGCGGAGCTACAAAGCGGTCAATCGAGTCCCAGCAAGCTCGGGGTCGACGTACTGAGGATCGCAGTGCTGACGAGAACATGGACATGGTTGCGTTGTAAAGTTATGAGGAAAGACGCGTTATGTAGGTCTTGTGCCGTTAAGAATGTACGTGTCCACTCGGAAGAATGCCGACCCGGAGTAAAGTATGCGAAGAACGTCGGACCCGCGTTATGCCGTCTGCTCGTGAGTAAGCCAGCCCATCCTCTCCCGGTTGAAATGCAAGCCTCACAACAGAATAGTTCCCGTATATCCTGCAGTCACCGAGGATGACGCCAAAAACAAAGTGCAGAGGCCGTGCTGAGCTGAGCGAATGAGTCGACCTCCATTGGCTCAGCGGGATTAGTCACGTACGCGAGGGGCGTGTGACACCGTGGCGGCGGGATTGCCCGTTATGGTATCCGGTGCGCCTCTCGACCTAGACGTCCTGGTCATCATCAGCAAGCTGAAGCTGGTCATGGCGCCCGATCTCGACGTATATAAGCCGATTGCCTTCCACTTGCTACCAACACGATTCTCAAACCGCCCAACATTCCATCCACATTCGCCTCGGTAGCGAAAGCGCTTGCACTCGCCATCCTGTCTTCGCTGCTATACTCAGCGCTTCGTACTCATCTACCTACACTTCGGACCACATCAAGAGCTCTCAATTCTATCAGGCTCTCAACGACTTCAGCGGATTCTACTTTGCAGAGCGCCATGAAAATCGTCCCCCGCTACAGCACCGAACGCGGTCATGCTGATCATGGCTGGCTCAAGACGTTCCACACGTTCTCGTTTGCGATGTGAGTACTTCACGACTATCGTTTCACGAGCGCAGCTAACCGCTCACTATATGTGCTCAGGTACCAGGATGATGCCCACGACCACTTTGGTTGTCTACGTGTGATCAACGAAGACCGCGTAGAGGCTCACACAGGCTTTGGCACGCATCCTCATCGCGAATTCGAGATATTCTCCTACGTTGTCGCCGGTGAACTCGAGCAGTAAGTAATCGCAATCATGACGCAGCGTATCTTTCCGGATATTAACATCCCCAACTTCAGTCGCGATTCGATGGGTAACGTCGAGATCCTCAAACGCGGCGACCTCCAGCTCACCTCCGCTGGCACCGGCATCCGCCACTCCGAAAAGGCGCACGGCAATTCCCAGGTCCACTTCCTCCAGATTTGGTCCATCCCCTCCGTCCCGCGCCTCGCGCCCAAGTACTTCACGCGCCATTTCTCCGACGCCGAGAAGGCGGATCGATGGGCGACCGTCGTCGCGCCCGTCGAAGCGCGCGATGTGGGCGTGCTGAAGGACGAGCGCGAGGGCAAGGGTCCCGCACCGGTGCAAAGCCCCTTATATTTGCACGCGACGTTGTTAAGCCCGGGCAAGGCGCTCCCGAGCGTGTTCAAGAAGAATGTCGCCCCGGGTGGGAGCAAGAAATACATTCACGTCGTCCAGACGTCCGGCTACAATCCGAAGAAAGCGAGCGGTGCGAAGGTGCGCGTGTTCGACGACCAAGGCGCTGTGCAAGAGCTCCACGAGGGTGACGGGGCATACCTCTTAGGCGAAGCGGGCAAGGAGATGAAGGTGGAAAATGTTGGTGACAAGGTTGCGGAGGTGCTCCTGTTCGACGTCGACGTCGAGTGAATCGAATAGTTCTCTTCCGCTCGCAGGGCTTGACTGATGTAACATAGTGTGCATTGTCTAATGTCATGTATCGAATACAGTTACAACATCACATTATATAAATTACTACTTGGATCCAAACGACAATGCAATGCAGGATAAGACAGCAGATAGCGATGACTGATGAAGTGAATACGTCGGTGGCTCCTTGATCACACTTTCATGAACGAGAACAGGCTGCTCATGTCCACCCATCGTCGCCCGGACTGAAGCATATACTTCTCTACGGTGTCCAGGAGTGTCTGCAGCAGCCCGGCCTGCATGGTGCACAGGGTGTCGATCTCCACTGGCACGAAAATCAGCACCTTCGAATAGGAGTTAGATTGAGGTGATACATACTGAGCTTATCTTTGTCCATCCCCCTGGCTGCCTTGATGATCTTCTGTTGGTCGAAGAGGGAATGATACATCCGCAGCTGATTGTAGAGCTCCGCATCCGAGTACTGGTGTCAAATACCTGAGCAATGCACACAAAGATTGCGAGAATCGATCGTACCTCAAACGCCACCGTGCTCGTACAGTCCTTCCTCAAGCAAGTGCGAGCATACACCCCCATCATCCTTGTCCGCATCCCACACGTCTGGTCGTTGCACACGATCCAGCCTTCATAGTACCGCGCGATGTGCGCCCTTATCTGGGTGTCGAGCTGGACCTGCAGCGACGCCGTGGTCATCGGTGCCTTACAGGCGGGACACTCCGGCCCTGACGGCAGCAGCAGCGACGCTGTGCGATCTGCGACCGGCGCAAACGCGATCTGGCCCTCGCATTTGCGGCAACGCACGACGAACGGGTCCGTGTCCTTGAACCGCTCCGCGTCTGACATCTGCGAATCGAGCGTTGTGAAGACGTGTTCTTGTACCTCGCCGGAGGTGCTGGTCCGGAATCGTCCCGGGTCGAGGCCGAGGCATTCTGCGAGGCGAGCACGGTCGGTGCCCTCGATGGGCTCACAGAGACGCTCGATGGGAGGCAAGACCTGCTGGGACAGGTAGTACTCGTAGTCTGCAGGAGGCGTCAATACGCGTCATCGAAAGGATCCTATCGGAGATCACACCTATTTGACAATCTTTCCCGCCTTTTCGAACTTCATCGGGGTGCTTCGCTTTGTCCGCTTGACCGGTCTTGGACGATTCGCCGCTCGCACCGAGGCAAAAGACGTAGGGAATGACATCGCCGGAGCGGGCCGTGCCGCCCCTGGTCTTCATGCGTAGGGCAACTTGCACATGGGGTTGTGACTTTGCATCAGGGTAATCTTCGGGGTTCTTGCCAAGACGCTGGAGGACGGTACTTGTTCAGCGGAATTCATCAGGGATATAAAACTGTTGCAGACCTTGAAGACAATGAAATCGTCTAGCTTGATTTTGCCTTCGCGGACGTTCTGACCGATCGTGGTCAGGTAGTCATGGATCTGCTCCACCACTATTTCCGTGGCCTCCCCCGATAGGATCTGCTCAAGAACGTACTGCGACACGTTCTTTGACAGCGCGCAGTACTCTCGGCGCTTCATGTCGAGACCCTTGACTTCCGTCGAGGTCCGCGTTCCGTCCTCGACCTTGATCGCTGCATATTTCTTCTTTTGCAATAGCAAAAGCCGCTGGAAAATGCCATCAAGATCGATCTCGAGCAGCCTGTATCGCTCGTTGACAGCCTTCTTGAAGTCAGCAGCGATCTTCAGCGCCTCTGCAAGATCGGTGGCGCCAGAGTTCACAAAGACGGAATCCGTATCTCCGTAGACGACGTCAAGCTGCAGTGACTCTGCCAGCTCCCTCGTGGCCGTCAAGATTTCTCGACCCTTGAAGGTGGTAAGGGCAGCGAGTGGTCGCGCGTAGAACCTGGAGTATTCGAAGCCGAGACAGCCGTACATACTGTTGGCCGTTAGCTTCAGGGCTTGTTGCTTGATATCGTACTACGTCGGGACATCAGCTAAGGCAGTCGCATCAGGTCGGGCCAGTCTCACCTGCATGAGCTTTGCTTGCGATGCGGTCTTGTCCTTCATCAGTGCTTTGACTTGTCTTCGCCGATTGACGAGCGTGGCAATAAGCCTCGGCAGCACACCCTGCGCAGTCGTAGAATCCGGAGGATCAGGTATTCTCTCTTCGCCATCCTACAGCCCGTTAAGTGCTCAAGCTAAGATCAACGAAACGGACGGACTGACCTCATCGTCCTCAACCGGCTCCACTGTCGTGAAGTCGATGTTGTACTCCTGAATGATGCTCGGATACAGCGAGTTGAAGTCCATCACAAGGATGAACTTATCCCACAAACCCCTCTTCGGCTCGAACACCAAACCTCCCTTATACTTGTCCCTCTTGCCCTTCCCCTTCCCTCCGACTGTGGCGCCGTTGGGATCGTCGCCCTCCGCCTCGGCCTTGACTGCGGCGGCAGCCTTCTTTCCCCACGTCTTGTCCGGACAAATATACTTTAGCCGGTGGAACTCATGCAGCAAGATATATTCGTTCCGCTCCGCGCGGCCTCCGTTGAGCGTCTTGTTCCACGAGTTGCCGGCCAAATTCGTGAGCTGCCGCGTCAGCGGAAGAATCTGAACCTTGGACGCGATCGCCATCTGGTAATGCGCATCGAGCTCGCAGTGCCTGACGAAGGTGAGCAGGCGGTCGGGAGAGGAGACGGAGCCGTCAAAGTAGGCGGCGGTGTCGTCCGGATCGATGTCCTGGCGATCGCTCTTGAGGTGCGTCTTGCACATCTCCGTGAGCGACCAGGTTGTGGACGAGATCATGCTCTGTTGCATCCCGTTAGGTTACTCATCCACACTCGGCCATAATATCCACACTTTACCTTCGCTCCATCGCTAGCTAAGTCGCAAAGCATGCGTCCGGCGAGGAATCTCAAGTTGCTCCCCTGCCGCCCGATATTGGGCCATCTGCTCCGTCTGAACCGACTTATGCGAGACCAGTGATCCGCTTTCAGTTCTTTCATACGGTTGAGCAGGACGTCCAACGAGACGCCCAGAAATTCGTGTCCGACGAACACGTCTGGATCGGCTTTGTGGATAGTCACTGAACCAGAGTGTGAGCTAACACGCTAGGATAAGATGTCGGGCGGTTCACGCGCCTAGCAGGCTGCTGAGCAACATTCGTTCGTTTGCCATCGGAGAAATTACGCCTTTGCCGTTGGCCTTGGCCCGCGCTTCGAAATTAGGCGGGAACCGACCCAATGGACGGACGAATGTATGCACGGTACAAGGGAGCTGCTCCGGCGGCGTAGGGTCGTCGATTTGGACTGCGAGCACACCGAGTCAGTTGACCTGCGGGAATAGACAAAGATAGCGCTTTTTACTGTTGGACCATATTCGCGCTGTCGCGCATACAATTTCGCGCTTGTTCTCCTTGTGGTTCACGATCGTACGGAGACTTAAACTCGTGATGGTCAGCGGCGGCGTATCCTTCGGCGCGTCTGCATCGCTCTCTGCAAAGGGGTTGATGTCTTTGGGGTCAGACACTGTGGCCTCTACTTTACACCATGAGATCTGGATATGTAGGATTGAGTCATTATCTCATTCATAAGGATCGCAGTACTTACGCCTTTATGCTCCACCTTTGGATGCTTGATATTTAACCAACATGGACCCATGATCTTCCTCTTCAACACGAGCAGTTCAAACGCAGTCGTATTCGTTCCAAATATCCGTGAGAAGTTGGGACTGGACACCGTCGATGGTATAGTTGGTTCTAACGCGCGGGACGCGAGACCGATGAGCGTCAGGGTAACCAGACAAAACAGCAGAACGCGGACCTTCGAAGGGGTAGACCACTTTGAGCCACTCCGCCTCGTCCCGAGGGACGTCCGGTTCACCAAAGGCGTACTTGCGTTTAACGGGTTTGCAGCGCCATGACTTGATACCCGCCTGCTGACGGATCTGATCGAAATCGGAATATACGTCGGACATCTCTGCAGCAGGTTATCAAATTCGGGTCTCTGGCAGATCTCGAGTGGATGCCTTCACTGACCGACAGGCACATCCGTCTCCACCAAGTTGCCGTCCTCATCCTGCTCCACCCTCAACGCCCGTGGCAATACGAACAGATTCCGCTGCAGGTTCTCAATCGTGACGCATATACTGACCCACTGTCCGCTTGTCTTCTCCTTCAGCTTCCCGATGAAGTACAACTTGCCCTCGTGCTCCATGTAGTCCAGCCAGAAGAAGCGCAAGCTGCCGTCGTCTTCCAGCACTTCAAAGTTCGAAGAGTTCGAGGACATTTTTGTGGAGCCGAGAGGCTCGGCGGCTGGCGCGACGGTGAGGCCATCATAAACAGATAGCCACGAGGGCTTAGCATCGTCTTCTTTCTTGGCGTTAGTTGGCGGATGTGCAGGGGGGACGCCGTTGAGAGGCTTCAGAGGTTTCTTAAGGTCAAGCTCCACCTCCTCTTTCTTGACGACCTTCTTGACATTCGGCTTTGCAAGGCATCAAGATGCGAATCATAGAAATTGAAGCAGGCCAGTCACCTTCAGCTCTTCTTCATCCACCTCCATAAATGCTTCCATGTCGATCTCATCGAATGTGGCGTCTACGTCGAAATCGGAGGCACCCGCCGAGAAACCGCCATCGGTTCCCTCGTTGTCGGACTTGACACCCATGCGTTCCATCGAGGGCGTCATGCCGTCGTCGCTGATGCCGTTCGTGTAGTCATGCGTACGGGACTATTGTCCGCCGATGAACAACGAGGCTCACGCAAGGGAGACAATACTTACCTTCTTCTTAGGGCTGAGCACGTAGTCATCGCTAGGAGGCTCGGGCCCATCGCTCGAGCTGTCCGCATATGCGTACTGTTTGCTCCGGTACGACCCATTTGCCCTCGGTGGGCTGTTGTCTCTCACCATCTCGCTCTTGCGCTTCTTGTTTCTAGGCTTTGTAGGAGCCTCTGTTGGGAGCGAGTCCATGGCGCCCAACAGGGAGGACATGAAGTCGTTCTCCTGGTCAGCGGACACGGTTGGACGATACGCGGCCATGGACATAGGCTGAACGGCAGGGGGCGGAGCCTTGGGCTTGGCCTTCTTCGACGGTCCATCTGCAACTTTGGAAGAGGATTTGCCTGACTTTCGCGCTGCGCACGCATATAAGCACCGCAACACGCGCGTCGTCTCGAAGGGGCGCGAGCGGCGACTCACGCTTGCGTTGTTCCTCTTCATCATCTTCCTCGTCGGTACCACCGTTGCCCCAGTCATCCATTCCGTTGTCCATATAGCCCTCCACACCATCGTCCACAACGAAATCGTCCTTCGCCAGGCGGCCCTTGACGATCTGCTTGTACTGTTCTTCAGACACCTCATCGTACAATACACCGTCATCCTCTTCGAACGCGATCGCGCGTGAGCCACCCTCGCGCGCACGTTTATACGCTGCGAGCTTGTCGAGCTTGGACTTGTTAGCGCGACGCGAGCGGTCCATGGTTGTGTCGGTGAAACGGCGCCAACGACGAGAGTAATAAGACGCGAGGCGTCACAGACGTGACCGTCACCTTCTCCTCGTGCTGACCCCAAGGTGGGGTTAGGGTCTCCAACCTATTCTTCATCGCGACGTCACCTCCCTCAGGCTCTCACCATCCTCGAGCATATCATGCTGCCTCGCTTCGCCCACGCCTCCCGAGCTGTAACAACACCACAAGCACAGCTCTTCGCTCCTCTCAAACGTCTTCACCAATGCCCCGCGCTCGACAGCCCGACCTGCTCACGACCGTTCTCCCGGCGCTCAAGCTCGTCGGCCTCCTCGTCCTCGCCTACCTCTTCTTCGACCACTTCCTGCTCACGATCCTCTTCGCGCCTCTCACCGCGCTCTTCGCTCTATTCAACAACTTATTCGGCATCCTTATCGTCTTCGCGGCGCTCCTTTACGTCGTCGTCTTCCGCGTTCTACCAGCCGCCCAAGCCCGACCCCAACTCCAAGACAAGTCTGCATTCGGGGCACCACCGAAACACCCCAGCGTTCGACGGGCCGGGCGGCGCTAGCGCAGAGTGCGCTGATCCGCCGCAGAACGCGCTCAGCCCACCACCGGCGGATTCGCCGGGCTCACAGGTGCTGGGCAAGATTGAGCAGCGCCTGCAAATCACGTTCACCTGCACCGTCACGGACTGCGGCACGCGCTCGTCGCACGAGTTTACGAAGCGGTCCTACGAGCGCGGAATCGTCATCGTGCAGTGTCCAGGATGCCAAAACAGGTACGTTCTTGTCCCAGTTCCCGCCGCGTTCCCGGGATTAACCGCCGTGCACTTGCCAGGCATCTCATCGCGGACCATCTGGGGTGGTTCAAAGAGTCCACTGAGGATGGTAAACTTCGTACGGTCGAGGATCTCATGCGAGCCAAGGGCGAGCAGGTCCGCCGGGGCCACATTGACGGGAGTGGCGAAGTCGTCGAGTATGCACCAGAGTCTTGAGCTTGGCAGGGGACCGTGCGCTCTCCCCTTGAATTCATGCCACGGCTCATTTTGGACCACACGAACCTGTTGTAAATGTTACTTTACAGTACACTAGTGCTAATTCACTACGTCTGGCACTGACTGGTCTCTGAAACCCCGCGTCACGACTCGTTGCTAGCACGGAAGTCGGCAATACGATGACCGAAACACGATTAATAACTATACTGTACATCGGGCTTGTCTATGAATGTATATTCTATGTTGACACTGCATAGATGTTGAACGTTGATGAGCCTAATCCAACGTCTCCCCGCAAATTTGCGTTGAGAATAATGTGACTCCATCGACTCGTGGTTTTATCCGTGAACACGTCTCTCGACGCAGCCGTAAGACTGTCCCTCGCTGAGCGTCGCGTTGACTGAGGATCGCGTGTATGGTGGATATCTCCTCGGACTGTTTGATGGCGGGCATATATATGCTAGTGTCTTCGGAATGGGCAAGGGCGATATTAGGACGAAGAGGTAGTTTTGGTCGACGCCGGAGTCAATCCGCGTTCGGTGATCGGCCTGACGATCAATCCTTGTGCACATGCACGATCTGGCTCGCGAACCGGCTCTTCGCCCTGATCTTCGGCCCATAAAACATCAACACCTGTCGTAACGAGAACATGAGCAACGAGCCGCAGTGATCGAGTGCGACGGGTGCGTGCGGCGACTGACGTAGGGTATCGGGATCATGACGACGGCGATGAGCGCGAACACGGTGCTCGCCCACTTGTACGTCAGCCTGGCGTACATGGCCGTGGTGAACAGCGGGAAAGCGGTTCCCATCAGATTCCGGAGGAGCGACTGGCCCGCGAGCGCCGAGGACGCGAAGGGGCCGTAACTATCGCACAGCACGAAAAAAAACAGTCGTCAGCACTCGCCGACCCTTCGCCTCGAACAAGGACCCCAAGACTCACCAATCGGCTAGGTAGGTGAACACCGCGAGATACATGATGAACGTCGCCCACATGAACACCTACGTCACCAACTGACGTATCAGACAACGATACGAGCGACGCTGGAACCCTTTCTGCTCACCGTGACACCGATGACGAGCGCAATCCACGGCACATGCGGAAGCGAGCACCACGCGTAAATGAACATGCCCGCGGGGAACATGACAGCCGCACCACACGCGGTGTACAATCGCGCCTCGGGCCCGCGCTGCTTCACGTACCTCTTGTACAAGCGCTCTTGGTAGAAATTGGTACAAAGGCCAAGCAAGGAGCCAATACTAGAGACTGTCGCTATCGGCGCGTGCAAGCGGCCTGACTTGAATGAAGAACGTACAACATGCCGAGGAAAGTCAACCCGATCTCGCCTTGATTGAAGTGGTGCAGCGTTTTGAAGATCGGTGCTATGGACCTGAGCGACGTGTTGTCAGCTTCTCTGCGGAGCTTGCCGAGTAGCACAGATGGATGACCCACTCAAACATGGTATACATGATTCCCCACGCGAACGAGATCCACACGCTGAAGCTCAGCACCACCGGCTCCGTGATCAGCAAGTCTATTCACACGAAACGTCAATCACCGGCCGGATACCGACGGTGAGATGATCCCAGACTCACAGAGCGGCCGGGTGCAGCTGATGTAGATGAGCGTCCTCAGCCGCGCCCGCTCGTCCTCCGCACGGGCGCGATACCGCGTGTCGCCCGTCTCTTTGCGCATCTTTTTAGCGAGCCGCGTGAGGAGCACCGCCGAGCGTGTCTCGCGCAAGAACAGGAGGATCAACGCCACGCACAGCCCGCCAAATCTGCGCGTTCCGCCGCGTCAGCAAAGGTCGTTCGTTCAGAGAACGAGCGAAAAAAACAAAAACGAACATGACATGAAGCCATTGTATCCACCGCCAACCGAGGCGCATCTCAATCCAGCCCGCGATGACGGGTCCCACGCCGGTCGACGCGATCGCCGAGAACGCGTACATCGACATCGGCACGCCTCGCCTACAGAAACAGGAGAAGAGGAAAAAGAAGGGTAGATTCATCAGCATCAGCAATCGCACTCAAAGAGCTGCATCGCACCCACTCTGCCGGCGCCCATATATCCGCGACGGTGCCGCCGACCATGGTCGCGCCCGTGCTCCCGAACGCGCCGCTCAAGAACCGACCGACGATGACGGTCTGCACGTTCCGCGCCGCGGCGAGCATGACGTTCATGAGCATGAACCCGATCGCGCACACGACGTAAAGCGGCTGGCGGCCGAACTCTTCCGAGAGGGATGCCGTGGCGAGCGGGACGACGCCAAATCCGAGACTATACATCGACAGCCCCAGCGCCGCCTGGAAGGGCGTGCTGTGCAGATCGCGCTCCATCGAGGGGAAGCCCATCGAAAACGTGGACGCGGTGGACGCTGCACATGCGCAAACGATCAGTATGATAGTCTACAACTTCAGCAAGGGACATTTCATGCCTGAAAGCGCGGTGAAGTAGCACGCCGTGACGGTGATGATCCATTTGCGCGGCTTGGGCCAGTTGATGGGGTCGCGCCGATCGCCGTGGTCGAACTCGACATACAAAACCTCGTGTTCGCCCTTCTCGAGTTCGTCGACATCGTCATCCGCCGCCTTCGTCTTCTCCGACGCCGGCTTCTCGTCCGGCTCGTACCCGGGCGGGTGGTGGTGGTGCCGGTGCGGGCCCAGCTGGTGCGCGTAGCCCTCGTCGAGCTCGACCGTGTCCGCGCGCGAGTCGAGGCTGATGCGGGGGTCGATTGGCTCCTCAACATCCTCCAGCCCGTGGATCGCGAGCGGCCTCTCGCCCTCGCCCTCGCCGGCCGGAGCCTTCTCCTCTCCCGCGTCCGAAGATACCTGAACCCTGACCTCCTCCTGCACGCCTTTCTCCTGGTCCACACGCGGGCCACTCATGGTGTTGCTTCTGCTGCTGCTCCCAGGTGTCGTGCGGGGCGCGGTGTGAGGCGGGGGGTCGGTAACGCAGGATCGTCCATCGCTCCCCCACAGTTCAAATAAAGCACGCGAGTGGGCGAGCGCGGATGCCGAACGACGTTAGCGCCGGCCGGCACGTATGGGAGATGATGGGGCCGATGGTTCTCGCGTCTATCGCCGGATCGCCAACTCCGCAATATTAATGGGGGACCATGGGTTCCAGCGAGTATGTAAGGTTGCATATGTAGGACAGCCCCGTTTGCTCGTACGACGACCAAAGGAGAGGCCAGATAGCGGGGCGCCCTCGGACGAGGTCGTAAGAGCGGTCGTCGTGAGCGCGCGACGCAAGAATAACGAAGAGCAACCAGGACGATCGGCAGACGAGCGGGCCGTCGATTTCGGCACACTCCGGTCGACAGAGTTTGGCTAGGTGGCTGTGCCGCCCATCCTTCTCGTCATCGTCATCCGCTCTCGTTTCTCGGAAGCAACTAGACCAGATTTGCAGCTGGTATATACTGCGAAAGTCGTACCAGTGGTAGTCATGAAAAATACTGCGCCTCAGCCGAGTTTTATCATCTATCACCTGCGGGCGGCATACTGTATAATGATCAACGTCATGGTATATACTACGGTGGAGCACAGAAAAAAACAAAGAAGTATATAGGTGTAGCTCATGTTCTGTCTAACCAGTTTTTCTGACACCATGTCTTCGCCTTTCTGTGACTTGACGAACAACGGCGACGACACCGGAGGTGACCCGCACGTTGACACAGCCGCAGCTTTCGACGAGTTCGCCAAACCACCGCGTACAATTCATCCCTACGCTGACCCCGACTCCTTGACCCTTGCGCCTCCTGATTTCACGCAAACTGGTGACATCTATGGAGCTGGTGCCTATCTGCAGTCTGCACAAGATGGTATGCAACCAGTGGTGAGTCTCTACCTGATATGTCTCGCCAAGCTCTGAGGTGTGTTGTTGTAGCTTGGGCCCGAATCAGGGCTCCCCCGCGTCGTTTGGTGTCTTCGGTTCATTTGGTGTACCACCCAAAGCAGTCGAGGGTGCTGTAAC